TAAAACTATCTTCTGTCTCTAGTTTCTTTCAGAGAAGAGAGAGATGATGATGATGATGATGATGAAAGAAAGAAAGATTTCTCCTTTGCTAAATGCTTCCTAATTTTGCTTCTTACATTTTGAAACCATCTTTCATGCTCTGCCAGCCAAACCAGTTATAGATCAATTTATAGTTCCACTTTTCAATTTATAACATCAGAAGAATGTATAGATTAATAACTGGCAGGGAAAGCACACAGATATATTTTATAAAAGTAGTAATGGAGCTCAAATATGACTAACCTACAGGCAAGCAAATAAATAATGAAATAAATCATTCACTACCAGCTCAAAGTTTCTTTTGATGTATATCCTTCCAAATAAATTTATGTCTTCAGGGTGGCAATTTCCAATAGGGATGCTACAAAGGGGGGTGTGTGCTTACGCTCATGAGAAACAAGTGCAAGATTTAATCTATTCATGGACTGAGTTCAATTAGTTATTGGGCAATCAAAGGAAAGATTGGTAGAAATTACTTTCCGCTGAAATAATTACACAAATATAACTGAGAATGTCATAAAGGAGAATTTAATTCAAATGGGAACATTGTTAGGAACTCTAATTATTCTGTCTTTCAGAATGTATTACTTCATGTGTTTCTTAAAAAGGATAGAAAAAAGCAAAAATGAAAGGGCAAAAACAATTTTCATTAGTTTTCCTATAATAATCTTAAAGGGAAATGGAAACAATACCGCTTTGTTTGGACTCATTATTGTTTAACCTTCTGGAGCTGCAAAATTCTACCATCATTGTTAGTTTCGAGAGAATCATGAAAAAACTATCAACATTCTGTGACCAGACATTTTCCCCTCAAACTTTCCCCCTTTTTACAGATTGATAGGAGGTGGAAATGGTGTGGGACGACAGAAGATCTCCTTAATTTTCTGAAAGATGCAGAAATTGAGAAGTTGAACCGAAGAAAAAAAATCAATATCACCTTTACTATGGTTACAAAAGATAACAGAAAAGGATGATCTAAGCTCAGAAAGGAAATGGCATCCTCCCACACCCACTACCATTCCACTGTGGAGTAAAAACAGCTCGTCCCCAGGTTTTACAAAAAAAGAAATAAAGCAGCTTGAAATCCTTTCATGAAGCTCCAATACTCAGTCTAGCCTGATTCCAAGCATGAAACAGAAAACAATCTTTCCAATCTCAGAACGGGTAGTATCATGGCTTATAAAAACTTTTTTTGCTATCTTTACATTTCGCTCTCAAAAGTCTAACAATCAATGAACTCATCACTGACTAAAATCGACATAGCTGTAAATCTGGCATCTGCAGATGTGCCTGAGTAAAGGTTCCAATATTCCCAACCAACTTGATGTCAAGTTGGGGAAAATGACTGCATGTTATTACAAATTATATTTTTCAGTAATGACACATAGTCATGCCCCCATCCCCAGTCACATTTTATTATGTTTGCAGCCTGGTTTTTTTCATTTATTTATATTTTGCTTTTATTATTTTATATAAATAACTCAAGGCAGTTAATTTACATTATTATTTGAAACAGTGCCATTTTGAATGACTCAATAATATCTTTCCACTTGTAATAAATGGAAATGAAATATTTCATATTTTCATGGAATCTTCTTGTGATTTATTTTAAATCCACAAATATGCTTATTACTTTTGATGATCAGCATCTAAAATCCCAGTCAAATAAACCTGCCTTCCTTTCTTCTTTCCTTCCTTCCTTCCTTCCTTCCCTCCCTCCTGTCTCAGTTCATATTAGTTACTCAACAGACTAGATAATAGTCAAGGCTGAACATGGTGTGCTCGCAGACTATCCAAAATGCTGTTTGGGGAGCAAAGAGTTGAACAGATTCTAGAGATATGGTATTTTCTTTTGTTACCCCTACAGAAAAACCTACAGTGTGTTATGTATTTGTACAGTTGTTAAGTACAGTACAAGAAGCTCTTTTGAAAATGCTTATGCATGTCATTTCCCATGAATGTGTAGCTTGTTATTAAGATTGTTAAGAACTATTTCTATAATTGATCTTTTAGTAATAAGTTGTAAACCACTCTGGATCTTTGGTAGCTGTTAAATGACTTTTTAAATATATTCTTAATTTATATTGATACATTATATATTCTTAATTTTAACCTGTGTTTTAACTTCTTTGGGTTAATTTTTGAGTCATGGTGACGACCTACACCTTGGGATGTCAAACGCAGGACCCACGGTCCACATTTGGCCTATAGGATACTTAGATCTGGCCCATGGGGCTGCCCTGGAAACAGTAAAGGACGGGGCCACAGTGACTCTGCCAGCAAAAATGGAGCTTGCAAGGGCCATGTGCAGCTCTCCTGAGCTGTGTTTTCGCTGGCAGAGGGTTGTAGGAGGCTGTCATAGCTGAAAATGAAGCTCAAAAGCCAATTTTTACTGGCAGAATCCTCAGGCCACCCCAGGCACCCCCTGACATAAGTGACGTTGAGTTGGCCATGCCCACCCTGACCATGCCCCCCCTGCCCCCCCAAGGTCAAACACAACCCTGATGTGACCTCAATGAAATCGAGTTTGACACCCCTGACCTAGACATTTCCTTGCAGTTTTCTTGGCAAGATTTCAGAAGTGGTTTGCCACTGTCTAATTCCTAGGGCTGAGAGACAGTGTGGCTGGTCTCAGGCAGTATATTTATTTTTGAGGATAAGGATCCTCCTCCCAGGTTTGATAATTTACATTTACATTTGGAAGCATTAATCATCTTATTAGCAGGGCTGTGCAGTGCTTCAGAATTAATTCAAAAACATGAACAGGAATCTAAATGCACCACTTCTCTGCAACTCTTAAAATATCTGTGTCTTTCCACTGCACATCCCTGTCAGGCAGCATCTCTTTCTAAATCAGAACTACATGTAGTCCCACTGAAAATTAGTTATTTGTTATTAGCTTTTAATATTGCTGATTAATTATTGAAAAGCTTGTTTGAATCCTAGTGAGCTTTGAACGCATGCAGTTTTTTCTTACCTGTGACGCAGAGGCCAAGTGCTCAAATACAATTTGAAAAACTGCCTTATTTGGCCAGCAATCACGTGGTTCTCAGAGACCCAGGATTACAGGGGAGATTTTATCCTCAAATAGGAAAATCCAGTCACAGTTGGACATTGGATGGTGATGACTGAAAGGGGAGGTTGAAAACTTGTCTATATCGCACTCCCAACCCAGAGAGCTATCTACATTAGCTTGAGAGATAGTCTAAATAAATTATTTTCCATTGTTCAAAATGAAAGGAAATAAACAAGAGAAAGAGCTCAAAGAAATGGCAATTCTCTTTATCCTAATTCCAATCTTGCCAGATAAGCATTTTTGTGTTCAATTCAGTAACATGTTGGCCTGGTGGTTAAGGTACTAGGTTAGAAAATGGGAGACCATTCTACCTTAGGTATGAAAGACATCTGGGTGACTTTGGGCCAGTCATTCTTTCTCAGCCTAATTCACCTCACAGAATTGTGGGGAAAATAGAAGAAAGAAGAAATATCATATATGTTCGCCATCTTGAGTTATTTGTAAAAATAATAAGGGTTGGATATAAATAAATAAGCAAAATAAAAAAAGACAAGCATGAAAGGCATATTGAAGAAAATAGCAATTGTTATCATAGAATAAAATGTACAAATCTGATAATATTAACTTAAATAGCAAGACTCTTTTAGAGTAAATAATGACCTAAGCTAAGCCACAATATACAAATTCCCATCACCATCAAGGAATGATAAGTTAGGCTTTCAACTATTTTCTGAAACTTAAAATGACTTCCCTATAATTTCCTTTCTATCAGTTTGAAACAAGTGTTTCTAGTATTTTTCTTCAGTTCACAAGATAAAAAAAATTATGTAACTGAAGTCATTTTTCTCTATATAATACAGGATCAGCTTTAAAATGGGATTAGACCATTATGAAGAACATTATATAAAGTAAGGAAAACAATTAATAAATTGTTTGGGGGCGATATGCTGACTCTGTAAACCGCTTAGAGAGGGCTGAAAGCCCTATGAAGCGGTATATAAGTCTAACTGCTATTGCTATTGCTATTGCTATTAACTGATGCCCTTGACTTGCTTGTGGGTTTCCCAGACATGCCAGAATGCTCAATATAGGAACAAATAGGTTTTAATTTTATGTGTGAAAGCTATTTTTGTCATGTTAATTTAGGATTATCTTATGGACAAATTGAACTGAGACCATTGATATTGTACCAGCCAAAGTTCTAAAACAGTTTTTTAAAAAATTCCACTGTAAGGCTCATTACAAGGAGGTTATCAATCATACACATATGGTGGAAAGCTTGACACCATCTGGAGGACAGTGTAATTGAGAAACAAAGTTGATGATATAAAGCATTTCAGGGAATAGCTGCTAAATCCACACTATCAAGAGCAAACAAAATAGCTGCGCAGATGTTCACTTCATAGGTTAGCCCCTTTCTCTAGACATCAAAAGTAGATTGTCATCATTATATATGTCATCCACAATAGCAAAAATAACCTTCTAAAACAATGGAAACCCGAAGGTACACTGAAATCAATCAAATTTTTACACCTTCAAAATGACACTGGTTACTTCATTTCATGTAGAACCCATTACTTTTAACCGGACATAGAAGAAATTATCCTCAGTACTGTCCCTATGGGATTACTTAATAAAATGATATTTAACCGATTTTATGAATTTTCTAGACAAAGTGCTTTGTTCAAGAGGACAATAATGGAAAATGAATCATATTTCAGAAAGAACTGAATAGGGAAATAATTATCAGATCAGTGTCAGTTCGTCAAGAACATCCCGACGGCAGGTTTGAATTTTCCTATGCATTAGGTGACAGTGATTATTAAATAGAAAATTATTCTGAAAACAGAAGACATTTGTAATGAATAGGCAAAGACTACTGCAGAACCCAACTGCTATTTTAGAAAAACAAGCCTCGCACAATAAGCAATCAAATAAAGCTAACCTCCACATTCCAGAAAAACTGTACATGGTGCTTACACAACGAGGTAAATCAGGAGGCTTCAGTCCATCCATGCGAACAACAAGGGCTGGAACACCAAAAAGTACAAGGTATTTCACATAAAAAAATAGGACCTGGCCCAATGCAAGGCCACCTGTAAGAATGCAAGAGAAAAAGGTTTTACTTTAGTATATCATTGTAATATTTACAGTCCTCTTTTTTCTAAATATGTTACTGTGTTTTTACAAATGCACTTTATAAAAGCATACCGTATGTCTTTTTTTCTGTCTGTATCAGATATGCACAAACTGTACCTCAGAGTATAAGTACCAAGCTCAGAGAGCACCAAGGACCTCACAGTTCAACTCTAAGCTACAAATATTCTCTTCTATCAGTACTGTACCTCTTGCACATATGCAGGATGGACCAACTTAGAAGGATTTGGCGAATTCATAGTGAAACTGAAGTGGTTCACACATAGAATTTCCATAAAATGAAGATAAATGTAGGCCATTTTTACTATGCATCTTGGAAAATTACAGTTCGTTTCACAATACATTTGGCTTTTAAAATAAGGGAGCCAACTCACAGCAAACCACTAGCTTTAGGGGATAAAAGTCAGGGAACGTGAATCACATTTTACAAGTCTGTCTAGAAGATCCAGACTTCTTCGTCTACTTTGCTGAACTTTCCAACTGAAAACTGGAAAATAAATTTCCAAATTTATTTTTTCATTTGATTAGAATGGTTGCTCTGGGCCTCTTTTACTCAGTTACTGATTTTTTCAGAACACTTTTTCTAGAACACAGGTGTCAAACTCACTACGTCATGTGACATTTCATGAGGTTTTTTCCCATTCACAGAGCTGGGGAGGACATGGCCTGTGTGTGACACATCCAGGCTGTGGGCCACCAGTTTGACACTCCTGTTCTAGAACAAGGCAGAAATTTTATTTAAGGAACAATATATGATCTTAAAATCACCAATGCAAAAGTTGTAATAGAGTTTTTTAATCTATTCATTTTCTCATTCATCATTATGCAGTTTAACAACTGTAAGGAGGAATATCACACTTCCATAATATAGCTAAGATTTCTAGACTGAAATGGTTATAATAAGCTAATATTGATTTTCATCTCAGTGTAAAATCAAGACATGGATCTGAAAGATAAATGTTTGCCTTCCAAGAACTATAAATCTTCATGTGCCCTAAACATTAAGTCAATACTTCACATGTTCAGTGTTATTACAGATAGTGCTTTACTTCTGCACCTAAATTTCTTTTAGCCTTTCATATTGTGCTGCTTCAAAGATATGTGGCTCTGGGGGGTGGGGGGGTGGACAGGATAAATGCTGCAATGTCTGAAAGAGTCTTTAAAATATTCAGCTATATTCCCTTTTCAGTGCATTCTCATGGGACAGTAACCTGCAGTCTGAGAGATTGGTCTGAATCATCTATCAATGTTCATGACAGCAAAAGCTAAAAAATTGAGTTCAACAACATTTGGGGATAGCCCTCTTCTATTTACATAAACTGGACTACTGTAATTCATGTTTCTTCACATGTCAACCACATCTATTCTACAAATTGCAATGTCAGGCATGAGTGTCAACCATTTGCATCCTTCTATAGCATTTATAATATATTGTTGATATTATTGGTAAAGGTCATGAAAATACAGATTTGTATTATATTTATATTGTATTATGTTCTATACCACTTGCCTTATCCAAGATATTGATGTATTGGTTGCCCTGTTATACCCCTAGCAGGGAATAGGAAGTACATAGCCTCTTTAACACAGAGGTCATCAGTTTTAGGTAGTATCTTTCCCATCCTCTACTAGACTCAATATTATCCAAAGCTTCATTTTCTAAAAGCATACAGAATGCTTCTAGGCAATGGTAGCAAATACAACACTTATCGTAAGGCTTAATAATACATGAAACAGACATTATTGGATGGATATGAAATATCTTATAATATTTCTAATGATTAGATGGTTTTTCTTTTTGAGATGCATAAACCATACCTTATCCATGCTTGCTTATGCTGCTTGAAATGAATGAGAATTGTTTACATGTTTTAAATGTGATAATTATGGCCACGTGCCCGAAACCCTTATTTTGTTTTCAGACTTGTTGTCTATATTCAGAAAAGCCTCAGAAATCAGATAGACATACAGATTCTGCCCTCCTGAAAGAAACACACACTGTTGGAAGTTGCTGCCCAAAATTGCTAATAAGCCTTGGGACTATGGTACTTAGCTCTCTTATTGACAAATGTATTTTCAATTCTGGAGTAGAAAATATCTATTACAGATGCTAAGGCTGGGCAGGTATTATTGCTTTGACCTGTCATGGTTAAATGTTTTGTGCAGAACAAAACATTCTTTGCTACTTTAAGAGGTTGCCATCTCTGAAGTATCAAAGTTCAGAGGAAGCCCTTCATATCCATGACAAGATAACTCAAATTCGGGCCTTTAGAGAACTACTCTTCAGAATGAAACTTAAACAGAAAACCTTAACCTCTTAGTTTTATGCTACAAAAGAGAGAAGAAAATCAACAATTGTAAGAAAGCATATTTTCAGGTACTATTTACTGATTCCGTAATCTTTCAAATAATAATAATATGTGTTAATATTCCCCAGCAGTAACATTTTACTAATTTGAATCAATTCATTTTCAACATTTTAAGTTCAAAGTTTCATTTTCATGTATTCTATTTCACAAACATTGTATCATTCGCAATTGTTGCATTTTCATGTTATACAGATAGTTGAGTTCTTTTTTAAAATTTAGAGTTAGAGTTATTAGTAGTCACTGCTAAAAGCATTAACAATGTCTTGTTTTTCAGAATTTTATTCTTACCAGAAAACATTGTTTTTGTTAGATATAACACATTTGTTGGAATTTACTTACTTATTAGACTTATATGGCCACTCATTTTATATACCATAAATCCTGAGCTGTTCACAACAATAACCATAAAAAGTACACAATAATCCTACACTGCACAAAATTACATAGCAATGATGTAATCTTTAAGTAGGCTTCCTATAAGGTTACTGAAGGGTAATCTAGGAATAAGTTTTTGTACACTCATTTTGGTTCTTCTTCTAGTGTTGCTCTTCTCAAAATGGAATTCATATTTCACTTTCATCAACTCTGCATTTCTAATTTTTGACTGTATTGGTGTTTTATACATTTTTGAAGAATATACATTTCTACTTTTATAACACATATTAAGCACAAATTCAGATTTTATAAGTGATATTGCCTGGATTAAACCCTTTTTTTAAAAAAGTCTCAATCTGCAAACCCCTATTTATTTAATTCAGTTCTGAATATCTCTCAAAACTAATTCTTAACAGATTCTTATGTCATTCCATGTCTTCAACATATATTGAGCAATTTTATTAGTTAATTTACCAATAATTTTAATATTTTATAATTTTTCCAGTATCTTCTTTTGTTTTCCATTATTAAAGTTATTATGTATTTAAACGAAAATGCGTGAATATACTAGTAAAAAATACCCTGTTTCCCTGAAAATAAGACTTCCCCGGATAACGAGCCCAATCGGGCTTTTGAGCGTATGCGCTAAAATAAGCCCTTCCTGAAAATATTGTAACACAACAGCATCCATTAGGATGACCATGTTCCCAGCCTCCTGCACCTCAAAAATAATAAGACCTCCCCGAAAATAAGGCCAAGCACTTATTTTGGGGGTCAAAAGAAACATGGTAGTACTAAGAAAGAAAGAAATTATTTTTATGCAATCTCTTTTTCTTAACAGAATCAAATTTATGTAATAATCAGCACAACAGCAGTTACTTAGGAAAAATGTCCGACAAACCACTATTATTATTCTTAACCAGCAAACTGGCCTTCTGCAAAGGATCTTTGATAATTACAAAGATCATTCTGAAATTTCACTGTTGAGATATAGTGGCTTAAAATTCCTTAGATAGGTCCCATACATGTGCTATTGCTTCAATGCATAAAATGTTGTAGCAACTTTCGCCATGTTGAAAATTATTGAGAGTCTGAAAAGGCCCATCAAATATGCTAAGGTCAGTTTGTAGTGACCTAAACAATTCTGAAATGCAGTGCAGAAGTTCTAAAGATTTTGCAAGCAGCATAGTGAAAAATAGGAATGTGAGCTTTTGAGACTTTAGAATTCAAGATTGTGTTATTCAATTCCTTTTTCTCCGAAATGATCTCAGCACTTTTTGGATATCTTTTGAAGCAGACAAGACATGAAGGCTTCATAAAATGTGGTATATGGTAACTATCTTATTGTACACAAAGCCTTTTGCATAATTTTGGATACAGATGTTTTACACTGAGAGAAAATGACATTGATTTCACATAGTGTAATTTAATTCTAAAGACATTGTAGAATTGCAGTTATAAAGATGTTTCTTAACTTGTGGAATAAATAACATGGTAATTTATATTCAAGATGAAGACATAGCTGTGAGATACACCATGGACATATTTATATACAGTGGCTCTTGGCTGTAACTCCTTCGCAGTATTCTACTCTAGTCGGTTTTTTTCAATGGTGCTTAAAATATTATGCATCAAACCAGCTGCTGATGGATTTACTTCCAAAAAGGGTTTTATATTTTTAAGCTCAGGCCTTCATTCACTCACTACCTGAACTTAATTTTTATTGGGTGGAAGCTATAGCCTTTTCTTGGCATGCTCTTTATATATATCATGATTCCATCCTTAACATAATAAAAAAAATGTTGTGTTCATACTGTCAGGATTTATTGGTCTTTTGCATTCAGCAGTATGTCCCTTCTTGTATTTTTGCAAGAATGTTGCAACAGAGAAAAGAGTTCTATTGGATCCATCCAGGGGTGAGTTCCTGCCAGTTCTAACCTCTTCTATAGAAGAGGTTCCACAAATCTATAGTGCCATTTAGAACCGGTTCCAGCTCCCTCCCCCCGCCCATCTGCACATTGTCCAG